CAAGTCTACATTTTCCTCAGGCACTGAATGTCACTTTGTCGGGACTCCTTCTCAGATTAAAAGGAGTTCTTTCTTTCTGTCAGAGAGTTCAGAGACTAAGCGTTACACCCGATGAGACCACAACTTCTACCACATCACTCACGCCCTGCACCAGGTCTGTGGAATGTACGCATATATTTTCATCACAACCAAATTATGTAATACAAAAGAAAATCTAGCTGTATTACGCATTAGAAAACACGATTGTTTTAGAACAGAGAAATAAATTGTGAACGACATATGTCATAGATTGTAGGTTAGTCTAACCACCCCTCGTGCAGATAAAACGTGATTAGCTTCATCAGAAATGACAAGCACTCGAAACATTCGGATTTCCTCGGCCGGCCCATTTCCCCGAGGTAAACATGTCGTGTTTATACCGACAACTGAAGACGCATTAGTATCACAGCTCAAATCTCCGACAGGGGTCTCATTCCGGATAAGCTGAAACGAACCAGCCCCTTGAGATCAACATTGATTGTCATCTGCTGTTGTCAATGGCTATAGACTGTTACAAGTGCAATACCACACGGCCTTGTTGGGTGCGCTGATGGATGCATGCCCTCGACATCACCGCGTCAGCTGATGCGGCGTTTGTAACACCACCGGTGCTTGAAATTAACACCTTCTTGTGAGCTCCTCCTGTCAATCACAGACTGGTGTTGATGACTTTTGGGTGGGACCGATCCACATGGTAAAGAGTGAGTGAGTAAGATTTTACGCCGCTTTTAGAAATATTGCAGCAGGGCGTTGGGCACCAGACACAGGTTTCACACACTGTACCCAATTGGGGATTCGAACCCAATTCTTTGGCGAGAGGGCTGAACGCTTTAACCGCTAGACTACCCAACCGTCCCAATGGTGAAGGCAGTATTGTTTTGTGCACTGAGCTGGTCAGTACGCAAACGTGATATTTGCTGGACACAGCTTCTTTTAGAAGTGTTTTTGTTTCATAATTACAGACATGTAATTAATACAACAGGAATACAACATTTCTATGTTTGAAAGGATCGTCAAGCATCCAAAGCATACGTGCGTACGCAGTAGACTAGTCTGTCTCACAGTCCCTGAACCACATTATTTTCCCTATTGCCTAGACCTCTCTGCAATGCTAAAGCCCTAAATAAAGCAAGTCTAGATTTCCTCAGGTTCAAACCACATTATTTTCCCCTCTCTGCAATGCTAAAGCCCTAAATAAAGCAAGTTTAGATTTCCCCAGGTTCAGGGGGAATCTGAATCTCTGGTCTCCCTGGGGCTCCTTTTCAATTTAAATGGGCTTGTTTGTTACTATTGAACTTATATATACTCATGCCAATAATGGTTGCCTCAAGTCAAAACATTGATTACACAACAATCTCGTTTTCTGTTGACTGGGTTCCGTCCTATTGCGCAACTTAGTACAATAACCAGTCCAGAATTTTGAGACCAATTCATTTAATTGGATACATAATATTAATCAGTATTATTTGATACATCTAAGCACTTGTATATTGCAACACTACGCTCCTTATAATCCTTGCAAATATGTCGTGCAGCGTGCTCTGTCGTACAGCGAGCACTGACAAATAGAAACCTGAAATCGTGGAAATCTCAAAACGAGGCTCTGCCGCTAGAACAGTTTAGCTGTCTGGTACGGACTTGATAATATATGAATCACATTGTGCGTTACGGAACTTCACTGAATAAGCGCAAGAAACACATAACAGGTGTAACCAGTGAGCCAGATGAATTGTGAACCATTTTACAACCTCATCAAACTGGGGCAGTCTGTGACGTCTTAGTTAAGGTCATGCTGCCTACACCTCGCCATAAATATAGAAATACGATGTTATTAAAGTTTAACATTAAAATTCATTTGTAAATACCATTTTCATATGAAATAAGGAATTGGAATTCAGTGTAGCCATAGTTGTTTGTGATGTCTATTTTCACTATCACACGAGAAAATTCGGATCGGCTGAAAAGTAGGTCATTGTCTGAATAGGTTAATGAGACTTATGTTTCGGTTTGTGGCGTGACGAGCGAACGTTTTAACCACTAGGCTACTCCACCGCCCCTTAGTACTAAGAAATAAGTCACCAACTTTAAAAATATAATCATCAAATATGAGTGGAGCCAAGAACATTGTTCAGTAGACTTAGCTTCATTATTGACTTAAGTGACATTCGTTGTATTCTATTTTTATATCGGGTCTTAGATGTGGACTACTACATATACTTAAGTAAGAACGCACGATTATCTCTATATCAAGTTTATCATGTTAATGTAATTAGTTCTAGACAGTGTCCCAGAATTGTTTTCAAACAGAATATATGTTATTCTCAGTCTAATATGTAGCCATTAACTAAAAAATGGAAGCCGCAAAATAATTCAATCAAACGAGCATAGTTGCAAGGTAACCCTATCGACACCTGTTGTTCCACATCGAGGAAACACACCCTACAGGCATCACCTGTAGTCCAAGTCCAAATCACGAATATTAATTGTGCAGAACACCCTCCATAAACTAGCTACAATTGGGAGTAAACATAATTCTAAACAGCGACAGGTAAAACAACCTATAATAAACATTCTGCATAAAGATATATTATTATACAAGATACGTAAATGTTTATTTGCAATATATCATAAGCTGACAGATAAGCGCATATTATGAAAATACCGTAGAGATGAGTCACAATAGTGAAATTAAAGTTTAACATGGTGACTAAGCTTGTCTGGTAGATGCTAGACTAAGGCTTAGTCTCTGAATATATATCATTTTGATAGTAACAAACAAGCCCATTTATATTGAAACGGAGCCCTAGGGAGACCAGAGATTCAGAACCTGAACCTGAGGAAATCTAGACTTGCTTCATTTAGGGCTTCAGCACTGCAGGGCAGGCTAAGCATTGGGGACAATAATGTGGTTCAGGGACTGTGAGGCAGACTAGATGGGTTCTTTTCGTAAACATATCAGATATAATGTTTACTACAAGGTTCAACAAAACTTTGGTATAATTTTGACAGTTTAGAAGCTATAGAATCTAAGGGTGTTTCTGTGTTTCAGTTTGGAGTGTACAGAAGAAAGCGTATTCATCTTCTACTGTCAGGAGGCATAGTTTAATTAATCTCTACTCGACAGGCGCATTTGTGTATCTTCCTCTTTCCATCTCAAGATCTTGGCAACTGAGTCTTCATGTAGGTGGACGTTATCTGTCATCCTAGCAATCTACTGCTGAAACATACTTCTTAAGTTAGTGTTCTCCGCTGAGTGTTCCAATGCGATACATGCTGGCGAGATTCTTTTCATATCACTGCATCGGCTGTATCTTAGTCTGCCATACAGACCCTCAAGCAAATATATTCAAGAAAGCCCACGCAAGTGGCAAATGTGGCAAGTCTAGATTTCCACAGCTTCAGGAATGAAGAGTGAGTGAGTTTAGTTTTACGCCGCACTCAGCAATATTCCAGCTATATGGCGGCGGTCTGTAAATAATCGAGTCTGGACCAGACAATCCAGTGATCAACAGAATGAGCATCAATCTGAGCAATTGGGAACCGATGACATGTGTGAACTAAGTCAGCGAGCCTGACCACCCGATCCCGTTAGTCGCCTCTTACGACAAGTTACTGAAGACCAATACTAGCCCAGATCTTCACGGGTCACTTCCACGTTGAGCCTCAATGTCACATGTATGTGGGATTCTTGAGGAAGTGAGCTAGTGGGTTGGGTTAGTGAGGGAGGGAGGAAACCATCCAACTTGTGATCAACAGCATGAGCATCGATCCACGCAATTGGGAACCGATGACATGTGTCAACCAAGTCAGCGAGCCTGGCCACCCGATCCTGTTAGTCGCCTCTTACGACAAGCATGGGTTGCTGAAGATCAATATTCTAACTCGGACCTTCCGGAATGAAGAAAGTCTCAGGGCTTCTTTTCATTATATTTTATTTGGTTTTACTATGAACGTTTTTTTCTGTAAATATGTTCATTTTAGAGACTAGTCGTTAGTCTAGCTGTATCTCTGAAGAACACGATCCTGTTGGTTCGTGTAAACGTGACGAGAGACATATACATACAGTAGAAGATTATTTTTCACAGAAACCGACTATCCTGAATTTACAGTATCAGGAAGCTTTCCTCTTAAGACTGAGTGTCCCCCAATCTACACTGGTGAGTGTGGGACGGATGTGCGTTGGGATGCTTCCCACATGTCGAGAGGAGGGGGGGAGTTCACCAGCTGATGAAGAAACATTGTGAATGACATACTAGCCAGAATGCGTTAGATTCTACTAGACAGGCTCTTCCACGGATTACCAGCGCCATACGTTCAGTATATTTCATGGATGTCTCGCTGAAGAGGTTGTAGCAATCCGGACCTTATTACACCGCTGATGACAGGTGTACACTGTTTCACGCCACTACCCTTCACGGGGACAGACCTAATTGAATTCCGATGAACTTTAACTCGTGCGGTAATGTGATACATAGATTTACAATGAACAGCATTTGGTTGTAATTCTCTGCACTTCCTACCATGACGGATGGTGTTTCACACAGCTTTGTCCACTTCTCACCGTCAGTCTAGACTAACGCTTTGTCTCTGATAATATATAAATGACAGAAAAGGATAGTTCCTTTAAACTTGAAAAGGAGACCCAGTGAGGTGGGGGATTCAGAAGAGGAGATCAGGAAATCTAGACTTGCTTCATTTAGAGCGTTTGTATAAAGGCTGTGTTTGGCTGAAGGGCGAATACGGTTCAAGGACAGACTAACGCATAGTCTCTGAATGTATATAAGTTTTATAGAAACAAACAATAGCTTATAAATTGAAAAGGAGACACAGTGAGGTGGGGATCGGACCTGATGAAATCTAGACTTGCTTCATTTTGGGCTTTAGCATTGCAGAGAGGGCTGGGCAGTAAGGAAGTAATGTGGTTCAGGGACCGTGAGACAGACCAGGTTGAAGGACTGTGAGAGAGAGACAGGCTATTGTATATGGTGAGTCTGGACTGCCGAGTCCCACACAGACCCGACCACTGGGGTTGTCATCAACAATGTGTTAATACCCCAGGTCCTTGTTCTGCTGCTGGTAGTGGAAGCGCCGCATCAGGGCTGGTTCATCTGCACACGAGATGCGGGTTTATTGTGAGCAATTACACCTCATGTTGGTGGCTGGAGGCTGCCGTCACACAAGAGCTTGTTTCTCACGTGGTTCCGCCTCCACGGATCAAAGCGCAAACCGTGTTGTACTTGAGGTAATTCGTTGTGAAATTTATTAACGAGAACTCTGATTGGTGGAAAGTGTTTCATGTATTCGTGCCTTTCTGGAACAAGTGTCACTGCCAGGATGTTTCAACCTTAATAAGTAAATATGTTTTATGTTGGTTTGTATGGAAATATGTGGCGCTTCCTGTGGATCTGAGAAGGAATCACATCTAAACCGTTATATCAAGGGGTGATACAGCTGCTGAAAGACATGAGAAGAAATATCAGGAGGGCTGGAAGATTTAGACCAGTTTGAAATCTCTGTGGATGGTGTTACAACCGAGACCATATCAGTACATGGTCTAACTATCGGACTTAGTGTTTGGTTGTGGGGGCCCATGTAGGTTCCTGTGCCCTAGTGACCGACTGTGTCCAAACAGGTTCCAGTGACCGACTGTGTCCAGACAGGTTCCAGGGACCGACTGTGTCCAGACAAGGTTCCAGACAAGTGACGATGCTGTGAAGCGTGACCTCCCTGTCCGGATGATAGATAGCCTCAACTTTGACCGGCAACTTATGTCTGAGACTTCTGACATTTACAACAGTGGTCAGCTGGACGGAGGCAGCTGGTGTACAAACTACACATCGGCCTGACCCCGTGACCACAGACAGCACGCTTACAGGTAGGGCTACAACTTGTCACAGTATATATGTTCATGTCGGTGTCAGGGATGCCTTTGCTGGAAAATCAGAAGTTTTCAAAATTATGTAATATAATATATATCTACCTTCTTAGATACTTCATGTCATGCAATACTACATTGCGTGGTGGATATTTCGGTTATTGAATAGGAACATGTGCGTTAATCCGCAGCATCTCCATAGGAACGTTATCCTGTGAATGCCTCTCAATATTAGCAGATGTTATGTTGTGTTATCATCTTGGTATATCATATTTTCGAAGTGCAATCACTTTTCATCTGAAACAGACTATTCAATGGCTCATCTACACTTACGCTTAGCCTCTGAATATATATAATTTTGACAGAAACAAATTGATAAAGAACCTCAGTGAGGTGGGTGATTTAGAAACCGAGTTAATCTAGACTTGCTTCAGCATCACAAGTAAGGGCTGAGTTAAAGGGAAAATAATATGGTTAATCGACATTGAGATTAGTTGATAGTTTTTTACAAGATTAATCGTTCACAACTCGAGAAACCTTATTAGATCAGATTTAGACCTGGGAAAACACTCTGTACCATATTATCGTGCGAACAGGGGGTAGAACAAACTAATATAGTGTATTAATAGTTCAGTCGTTCACAATACGAGAAACTTGATCTTTATTAGATCAGGTTTATACCAGAAATTAAATCACTATGGAAAGTAATGTCCATTGTTCTTGGAAGTGTTTTATTAGCATAACTGAATAACTACCCTAGGGCAATTATTTCTATTAAAAAACAATAAAATTGTATTCATTTTGATAATCTTCATCATTCCTAATACATTACACGCGTATTAAATAAGTATGCCCTCGTGGTGTAAGCCGTTTAATCACCCTCACTACGGTAGTTATTTTAATAACTAGCCCTCACAGAGTTTATCTAAATAACTACCTTGTAAGGGTGATTAACCTAGACATAACCATTCTTCACCATATTACCGTGCGAACATTGTTTGACTGTTGACTCTCCCAATGCTGAATCCCGCATTAGAATCGAGTATTAGCTCGGGTTTATGCCAGAAAACAACATTCTTCACCATATTACCGTCCGAACATTGTTTGAGTATTGACTCTCCCCAGGCAGACCCAGCATCATGCTGGAGTTATCCATGGGTAGTTCTTGAACCAATATATCACGGCCGGAGATGACAATAACACATTCCATGCAATAGCAATATCCTGTACAGCAGGATGTCATTGACAATGATACATTGACAAGTCCTCACACAGGGATTACTCATCCCAACAGAACGGTTATAGACAATTGTAGGAATTAATTATCTTCTCGGTAATGACGTGTGTATGGTAAACTATCTTAAAAGCTATCCATAGACAGTACAGTTCTGGGTGCAAGTGAAGATCGTTCTTCTACCTTTACCGTCTCTAAGGTACAGGTATGTATAGGTTAATCACCTTTACAACAACCCCTCGCTAAAGCCCTCGCAGAGTTTATTTTAGTCTGTCTCACAGTCCCTGAACCACATTATTTTCCCTACTGCCAAGCCCTCCCTGCACTGCTAAAGCCCTAAATAAAGCAAGTCTAGATTTCCTCAGGTTCAGGGCCTAGGGCTCCCTTCAATATAAATGGGCTTGTTTGTTACTATCAAAATTATATATATTCAGAGACTAAGCCTTAGTCTAAGTTTATTTAAATAACTACCTTAGTGAGGGTGATTAAACGGCTTACACCACTAGGGAAAGTTATGTCCATTTTTCTTGGAAGTATTTTATTAGCATAACTGAATATCTGCCCTAGGGCAAATATTTCTATTTAAAAACAATACAATTGTACTCATTTTGATAATCTTCATCATGCCTAATATACTCAGCAGCAAAAAAACCCCGTCAGTACGAATTCAAAATTAGATAGGCACTGTAATCAAATCATTACAGAAATGGACATAATAAGCAGATCAAAAACATTTTTTGTGTACAATATCCTGACACATCAATGAATAACTCAGCACAATTTCAAGACATTACGTGAATGTTTGCAGTCCATTCAGACTCTTGACTTCAGTATCTAGTGTGACTACCACGAGCGGCAATAACTGCAGCACAGCGTCTATGCATGGAGTGCACCAATCGATTGATGAAGGCCATTGGCACCTGGAACCACACTCTCAGAAAGGCCTGGCGCAATAAATCGGCTGTGTTCGGCCTTGGTATGACATTATTCAGTCTCCTCTGGATTTCATCCCAAAGATGTTCAATTGGTTTTAAATCAGGACTAAGGGCTGTCCACTGCAGGACACCGTCTGTAGGAAGTCCCGTGGCCTGGCAGTGTGGGCCCGGGCGTATCATGCTGGAAAATGTTGTTCCGGTGACCGTTGTATGACGTGGGGTCTGAGAGGAAGTCGCACCGCTGTAGCCGCCTCTGGACCAGGTTCTGGACCCACTCTCTGGTTCAGGCCTATTCCACCCCATCCATGATGCTTGCACCTCCCCATGAGTCTCTTTCCAACATTGGTCTGAAACGCTGGCCACGTCGTCGCCATATTCCTGTTCTGCCAGTTGATACGCAGTACCGACTCTCATCTGTGAACAGAACAGTTCTCCATTGCCGGTATCGCCAGTTTTGGTGTTGTAGGGCAACTGTAGACGTTCCCGCCGATGACGAGGGGTGAGGATAGGTCTATCCGACAATGGCGGTTCCCGCTGTTAAGACTTCGGCGTATTGTATCAGTACTGATTGGTCTTCCGTGTGTTCCAACTGTCTGGCGTGCTGTTTCGGATGCCTGCATGAAGGGATTCTGCACATGCTGTCGCACAACATGGCGGTCTTGTCGTCTTGTGGTCACCCTTGGTCTGCCAGTACGGGGGCGATCATTTGTGGTGTTGGTGGCCCGGAACGTTGTTGCAGCCTGTAGATAGTCCGAACGTTGACCTGGAAGTGATTGGCAACGGCTTGTGCAGTGTGGCCAGCTTCAAGTCTTCCTAGCGCCTGGTTCCACTGAGCTGTCGTGAGTCGCGACATCCTGCTGACGTTGTAAGGTGAATGTTTCAACCAGGTTTGGGGGTGCATTTTAAAGGGATGGTCCTTGTGAACAGCACGTGCAGCATGAGTTGCATGAAAAACATGGAGAATACCGTACCATCTCCGAGAACAGGTTGCGTTTTTGAGACCATTTCCTGGGTTCCATTCTGAGTTTGGGAAGGAATGTCTTTCCTCAGGTAAAGTTGGAGATGTTGTCAAAGATATACAATCAAAACATTAAATGAGTTTACAGTTATCCGTTTCTGCGAAGGAAAATTCCAAACTGACGTTTCTTTTGCTGCTTAGTATACATTACACGCGTATTGTATGCCCTCGTGGTGTAAGCCGTTTAATCACCCTCACTACGGTAGTTATTCAAATGACAATAACACATTCCATGCAATAGCAAAGCCCTCGCAGAGTTTATTTACATAACTACCTTGTAAGGGTGATTAACCTTCACATATATATAGGTGGGGTGGGAGAGATATAGGTTTATCTATTGCATCGCCAATAATCTAACATACAGCCCCTGAAACAAATATAACCAATACATCCCATGCAAGTCGAGAACATATGGGAAGTTTGAACATGAAAGAGACTCTTGGCTCCCTTTAATTATATTATATTATATGAATATAATTTAGGAAACGGTTTTTTCAGTACAAAAATATATTTTTCAGAAACAAAGATGCTAGTCTGGCTGGAAACGAGCGCAGCTGATATTCCATAGCATCTATAACTGTACTCATCCCCATAAATACCCCCGCCCCCCAAGTCGGAATGAACACATTGTAGTTCGGTGGAATGAGATATTTGATGATACTCCCAAATTTCCCATATGCATTCCATAAGGCTGTTAATGTCACGGACCCCCGTTATGTAGGGGGTTCCCAAAATAGGTGTTGTATATAAACAAGAAGCGGTGAGCAGGTCCATCCTTCCACCACTGAGTACATGTATGTGGAAATTACGGAAATCGTCAAAAAACGAGATAAAACCGACAAGTCCGTGCTAGATAATTATACTACCACCCATCTTGCATCGGCCACTCACAGGCATAGACGGCATTGCCTGCATTGCAATGTCGGAGATTTCATGATTACTTTTGTCTCACCTGCTTAGAAGGGTCAGAATAGCTGGCTATAGTGTGTGAACTCAAATAGTCACTAATCCCCACTCGGGTACCGTTACAGCCCATGCTGGCGTAAATGAAGCCTTGGTGTCGTGGTATTCCGACGGCGTCGACGTTGTTAATGTTGTACCGACATTTACAGCTGTTGTAATATATACTGACGTACAAAAGAAACCACACACCTGGTGGTTTGGGGTTATTTTCCGGAAAAAAACGTAAATATTTTGAAAAGTGTTTTGATTGCGACATACAATCAAAACATATCGTGCCCATTTGCGGCATTACCTCACCCAACGTAGACATTTCGACGTTAACGGGTTAATGACTTGCCCCAAAATGGTGGCTAGGCCCGAATGCCGACAGCAGGCAGTCTTCTCATCACTGTTTTCCTGCGATGACCCAACGCTGTTGATGCTGATGCGTCAGTGTGCGCATCTTTTGGGGCAGTACAGATGGAGAAGGTGGTGGTCATCTTATGGTGTGGTCACCCTCGGTCTTCCAGTTCTGGAACTGTTAGTCTGATGATAATCTGCCTTATACAGTCTAACGTTCTGGCAATATGACTGTTCGAAGCCTTGCCTCATTCCAATGGCTGGCCCTTCTTCGTTGCTGATAGTCTTGGTGTTTTTGTGTGTGCCTTTAACAGGTATACCACTAACTATCTATAATTAAATTAAATTTCAGACGGACGGTCTAGATTTTCAGCTAGCCAGCCCGATGGTCTGGTAAATAATTTAGATGTTATATACATCTGAGTCATATCTTGGTGTCTGGTCTGGTTACATCCATTTTGGACTGGTAACATTTTGAAGTTACCAGCCCTGATGTCTGGCTGGGGTTTTG